CAAATGTTTTCCACCTGCTAGGATGACTGTTTAGCCACGACAATACAACGGTGGAATCAGTCCAGGCTTTTACTCGTTCTCTAGAAATATTGAGAACATCTGCTGCCTCAATCAATAATCGTGATAACAAGACTGCTCCACACAGTTCCAGACGTGGTATACTGACCTGCTTGACAGGAGCCACTCTAGTTCGTGCTACCAGCAACGAAACGTGTACTCCATCTACGGCATTTAGTACTCGCAAGTAAACAACTGCTGAATACGCGATTTTGGAAGCGTCACTGAAACCATGAAGCTCCAACTCATCCTTAGACGTACTTCGAAGCCATCGAGGGATTCGAATCTTCGTCAGCAGTGACAACTCTTCACGGTAAGTATTCCACTCTTGTACTAGTTCCTTATTTAATGCTTCATCCCAAGTAACACCTGCAAGCCATAACCTTTGGATGAACGTTTTCGCTAACACCACACTTGGTGCTAACCAGCCTAGAGGGTCAAACAATCTGGCTATGTCCGATATAACTTGTCTTTTAGTTACCGGTGCTGTCGTCAGTGGAGGAAGATTCACGGTGTATTGGAAGCTATCGTCGTTCCGATTCCAGGTAAGACCTAGTATTTTTATTGTACTATCTAATTTTATTTCTAAATTTTTATTCTCTTTATTTATAGGATCTGTTTGTTCTACTTCCCCTTCAGTTTCCTTCATTTGATCTATTATTTTCATGATTTCCTGATTGTTACTATTCCATTTTTGCAGAATGAATCCTCCTTTTTTTAGTAATACATTTATCTGTTTAAATATGTCTATGCCTTCTTGTACACTGTCACTCCCGGTCATCAGATCATCCATATAAAAACTATTCAATGTTATGTCTGCCGCTAAAGGATAATTGTCTTTTTCATCATATGCGATTTGGTGAAGAGTTCTTACCGCTTGATATGGAGCCGAAGCGGTACCAAAAGTCACAGTGACCAGCTCATAATCTCTGATTGGCTTATCAGGGCTGTCCCGCCAAAGAATCCTTTGGAACATGGCGTCTTCGTCAGCCATTCTAACCTGTCGATACATCTTTATTATATCGGCCACTAAACCAATCGAGTGTGTCCTCCACCTTAAAACAGTATGTCTTAGGTCTGCTTGTAGAGTTGGTCCGACCATCAGCGTATCATTCAGGGAAATACCTTTTTTATTTTTTTCAGAGGCATTAAATACCACCCGAACCTTCGTAGTTGTCTTGTCATTCCTTACTACGGCGTGGTGTGGTAAGTATACCGCTTGATCCTTTTTATCGTCCCCTTCCTTTACAGGTCGAAGATGTCCTAATTGTAAGTATTCGTTTATTACTTCTATGTATTTGTCTTTTAAGCATGTGTCTTTAATTAATCTTTTTTCTAATGACTTGAGTCTCATTTCAGCAATGTATCTTGAACCGCCAGCCTTGCAAGCAGGATCACTATCGCGAAATGGTAAGCGTACTATATATCTCCCTGCAGCATCCCTTATTGTAGTTTTGGTATACAGCTCTTCACACCTTTGCTCCTCAGGACTTAATATTTTTTTTGAACTTGTTTCTTTGCACTGCTCTTCGATCTCCCAAAATTTTCTTAGAAGATTGTCCTCGTTAAAATGTGCACAATTGACACTTACATTTTTAGGCAGATGCTGCATTTCCTTATCGTTTAAACTGACTACTAACCCAGAAAGGATCCATCCTAAAGCAGTGCTCTGAGCGATGAGAGTACCAGTTGGACTTTTCACGATGCCTTCCTTAACAATGGAACCGTAGACATCCGCTCCCAATAGAATATCAATTCTGTTGGGAGTATTGAAATCCGGATCTGCTAAAGATAAGCCATGGGTATCGATCCACTCAAATGTGCTTATATCTGTGCTCCTTTCGGGTAAGTATGACGTGATCTTAGTTAATACGTAGGCGTTAATTTGTAATTGGAAATTGTCATCTATTTTAGATTTAATTGTGAGAGTGACCATATACTTTGTAGTTGAGCTATTTTTTCCTAGGCCAGTAATAACACCACGAACAGGAATCTTTTTCAGTTTTAGCAATTGTGCCGTAGCCTCAGTAATAAAACAAGCCTGAGACCCCTGATCAAGTAAGGCACGGACGGTTATAAACTGACCCGTCTTGGACTCTGCATTGATTAGCGCAGTAGCCAACAAAACTTGTCTAGGCTTCGAGATTTTGCCAGTGGATAAACAAGCAACTATCTGACTATCGTTAGTTGAATTACTATCGACAGCAGACTTGGTTGCAGTACTTTGAACTTGGCTATCATTTTCTCTGTTGAGATGTAACAAGGAATGATGCCGTTTTTTGCAAATTCTACACGACATTTGCTTTTTGCAATCGTACATTGTATGGTTGCTGCCCAAACAATTAAAGCAGATTTTATGTTTTGCAACAAATTCCCGTCTATTATCTACTGATTGTTTCGCGAATTTCTTACAGAAGCAAAGTTGTGCGACTCAGAGCAATACTCGCAAAGCATGTTGGATGTCTTTGTCGTTAACATTACCTTTGGACTATGAGCGTGTGAAATATTACTGCCCTGGTGAGCTTTCTTTGGCTCTAAAAACTCTAATGCACGGAACCGACTTTCTACGAATTTCTTAAATTGCTCAAAGGTGGGCAACTCGTTACTAGAGTCATTTGAAATGCTAAGTTCCCACTGTTTACGTGTTTCGTTATCAAGTTTAAAAGTTACAATATGAATCACAATGACATCCCAAGTGGTAACGTTAATTTTTAAGTTTGTCAAAGCACTCAAACAATCTGTTGTTGTGTCCAACAACTCTTTTAAACCTGACGCTGATTCTACGAGTAACCGTTTTTGACCGAATAGCCTTTTCAAAATGCAATTAGTGAGATACTTTTTATTAGCATAACGCCTTTCCAGTTGCGACCAACATTGACTATAATTAGCATCTGTGATAGGTGTATGCCTAATTAATTGTTCAGCTTCACCAGTAAGATGTCCTTTCAGATAATGCAGCTTTTGTACATTATCTAAGGAAGGATTATTATGAACTAAAGAGGTAAACAAATCGTAAAAGGTAGTCCATTCACTATATTTCCCCGAAAAGGTAGGAATTGAGATTTTTGGCAGTTTAACCAATGAACTTGTTGCTTTGGACATTGTGTTTGATTCGCTACCCTGTTGTGCTATAGGTTCTCTTACGTTTAATTTATTTAAAGTTGATTTCATAGCACATTTATATGTTATGTAGGTATCTTCAGTAGTGTCGTACATATCCACAACCTTTTGACTGATATCTTCTAATTATAGGTTTTATAAAGTTGAGATTTGGTATCCTTGAATGATGACCAATCCTTTTCTAATAATTCGAGTTTTGTTTCTATGTATTCAACCGTTAATCTATCTTTAGGACTCTTCTTATAATTAGTGAATGCCCTTGTCATCACACTCTGAAGATCCTTCATAACGTTTATTTGACCTTCCATTTTTACGTAACAAATAAAATAAGACTAGTAAGAATAAACCGTTACACAAGTAAATTGATAGAAGTTTGTAAATAATGTCTAACAACAATAAATAATTTGATTTAAAAGTTAATCAAACTGCATGTACACAAATCATAACAAACAAAAATTTTATATGTCCAAAACCATCGAAATTTTTCTAAGTCCTAAATAAATCACTAAATTTTACAAGTGTTTTGGATTTAAATTCTGGCGGATTTCGGGCATAGGTTCCCCGTTCCCCCGTTTTTATTGAAATTATTCTAAGTCCTTAACTAACATGCACAAATTTTACTAGTCTAAAATATACATTAAAGTGTTAAGTTAAATTAATCTTTGATAGAAAGTTCAATTTGGCTTGGCAAAGATTGTTCTGCGTTAGTCACTTTAACTATTTATGAAATATAGTACTCACAATATTTAACTTCACTCACTGAACACGGACGGTGCAGGTCGCGCCCTCTGCGACGTCACTCGGCGTGGATGGTACAAGTGGCGCCCTCTGCGGCGTCGCTCGGAACTTCAAATATAGGCTGCTGTCACTGCGCACTGCAACAGTTTCTTTGACGACGACCTCTCGAAGATGGACTGCGTTGATTCATGTGGCGCCCTCTGTGGCCACTTGATGAACTATACTCCACAGCAACTGAGCTCGCCAACTTGCTGGGCGATGCTTCTGCGGGGTGCTCAGTATTCTTGCTGCAGCGATCCACTGCGAATACTCGAGCTTGTGCCACTGGCACGGTTGAACTCAAAAATTCAGACAGTACTGCGTCTGATCCAGGGTCGAAGGACCAATGTTAATTACCGAAGTAACGTGGCCTAATGTAGCTACTAATAGGGTTTAATTAAAACTTCGTATTAGTGCTTGAACTGCTGGTTCGTAATATATTTGTTCTGGTTGATCTCAATACATACAAAAAAAATATCTGTCTTAAGTAAGTCGTTGTAACGAAACCATAGCTTGATTTTAATCGCGGCAACGCCATCTAGTTACAAAAAGTGAACTAATTAATCAATATCAATTTTATGATTTCGTTACTTTGATTTCGTGTTGGGTTTTGGTCATTAACATGTAGTTATAGTTTAAATGAATTTTTAAGGTATTTTTTCATTAACGGTGCTGATAAAATAAACCAGTACGTATAGATATATTAATTTAATAAATATTTATTTCATTTGAAGCAACAATCTATTTATAACAATCACACGGACACCAAATTATATACATTCAACACATTTTCATAATATTCGAAAGTTTGAAGATCCATTATTTATACCTATTTATAAAACATCATCACAATACTTCGTAATAATACAAAATAATCTATTTAAAGACATCATGACTTTCTAATATAAGCAGAATTGACTACAAGCGACTTTAAATATTTACACGCTACGACTTTTTAATTTTCTACTCTTAGGAATGTTTGTTTCTCTTCTCTGGTCGTCTCCTTACGTGACGCTATACACCGGATAGCTCCGGCAAGGTTCCTGTCAGCTGTGGTCTGCGCTGGCGCTGCGCACTCGTCGAATTAATTCCTCAACTCTCTTATAAGGACTTTGGCATCTCTCTTCGTTAGTATCTATAAGGTAGGGGCCACCCTCGCTGTCCCTACCCTCTGGCGTGTGGCAACCACTAGAGCCCTCAGCTGCTTTATTTATAAATGGTTCTACATCTGGAACTAGCGGAGTAGCCACTACTACAGCTCTAGTATCATCAGTTATACTCGCTTCAGCTTCCTTCTGCCGAAGCCACACAGGAGAATTCACGTATACTTTTGGTCTTTCTCTCAGAGCATTGCACCTCTCTAAAGCCTGTCTTCTAACTGGTATCGGGGGTCTATAAGCAGCCTGTATGGTCACTCCTCTGCCTCCCATAGAGCACAGAAGACCCTTCAAAGCTGCTCTAAAGTCTTTCAGATGATACGCGTACAGAAAGGGATTGATGGCAGAATTTAAATGGGAGACGATGATGCAGATGTACGTGAGAGGGTTGGGAATGTCGAGCTCAGGCATGAAGGCTTTAATTGCATTGACTGTGTAGAGAGGTATCCAACAAATGATGAAGAAAAATACTATAATGGCGAGATTCTGTGTAGCTTTGACTTCTCGCTTCTGCGCAGCTCCAAGCACTCGTAGCATGGTGCCTCCTCCAGGAATGCGGCCTCGACAACCGTCAACTGTCATCACCTCGCTGAGCTAGAAAGATAAAAACATATTCTGTTTAGTTTTACTTTGCGCACATAGATCTATCTACGCTTATACAAAATCAAATAGGCAAAACGCCAATCTATTTTGCACCGAAGGCCGGCGAATAATTCGGGTGTTATAAAAACTTTGCAAGCCGAATGAAAGTATTTTTGCTTATTTATGAATTCGATTATATTTGTACTAGAAGCTTACACGTGTATCATGGCTGTAATCTATGAATATTTTCAATTCATATAGGATATACTAGTAAATGTACCTACTTTAGAACTTATGTCACTATTCATCTTGGATAAAAAGCTAAATAAGGATTATCTATAAAAGAAAGTCGTGTTAGTTACACTATTTATAACTCTAGTAGGTATAGCTGCACAGATTTGGCTGAAACTTGGAGGGTAAATAGCGGGCTTAGAACCAGGAGACGGACATGATATTTTTCTTTCTTCCAAGGCTTTTTATCCAAGAGTTTCTCAAAACTCCTACGGAAATGGAAAAAAATATATTACGCGTATGAAATCGCGGGGAGAAGCTAATATTTACATAAACTGTCTAATTAAAAGGTTACAAATTACCTGTTTGACAACCACTCGATAGATGTGTGCGTAGAAAGCGGCGAGCAGCACGCTGGGCGTGACGATGGTAGCGAAGTATAGGAACAGCAGGTAATTGTAGTCCATGACCTCTACGAAGTAACATCCTGGCATGTTGTTACCAGCGTGCCAGCCGAACAGTGGAAGAAGACCCACTCCCGCACCAGACACCCAGCAGACGGAGATAATACCTGGAGAGAGAAACGAGCTATAAGACTACAGTTAACTTAACTGAATATTTTATGCATAACTAGCAAACCCGGCGAACTCCGTTTCGCCACCAGATGGCTTCGTTTTATGTAACATTTCGTTTGGTGATTAGATGAAGAAAACTCTTTTTCCTGAATTTTCTTTGCTATAAACCGAGGGCCGAGACCTTTTCAACGAATGCAAAACCGTGGAAATCGGTTCGTGCGTTCTGGAGTTATAGCGTCAGGAAGGAAAATCCGACTTATTTTTATATAGTAGATTATTTTCATACCCCGAAAGTGGAGAGCTTATTATATTAAAATTGCGCATGCTGCATATATAATTGTAGACCTATACCTATAGATTTATACATTCTGTTAATACAGAACATATAGTATAACTACTATGAGATCACAATCGTAAATTATTTTAGTATCGGCACGTTGTTCATAGATTTTCCTTATCTCGTATATTTATTTCTGATCATATTTATGAGATCCCAATCCTAAAAACGACCAAAACATTGAAAACTATTAAGAACAGAAATCTTCCAAATTCATCGAAATGGTTATAAATATTTCACTCAACAAAATAATATACTAAAGCGCCTTTCAGAATATTGCGAGTGATCTGTCGTCGATTGCTTTGCTCAGCGTTTTTTTGCAGGAGTTTATATACCCTAATATTAGTATAAACTTGCTACCCGTGTGCATCTTCACCCATGCAGCGTGATGTTTGATACTTTTTATAGCCTATAGCGTCCTCGATAAACGGATGCTGGATAGTCCAACGCGAAAATAGTTTTTCAAATCGAATTAGTACTTCCAGAGATGAACGCGTTCACACCAACAAACCCACTCTTCAGCTTTCTCTTGTTTTATTTAGTATTATCACCACAAAGGCAGTAATTACAGTGCGATACAGGAGGGGAGGGGAGGGGAGTCAAAAATTTTCAAAAATTGCGTTATGTAAAACTTGAACGCTCCTTCACCTCAATTGTTTTTACAATTTTAATCGATTTAGTTTTCGTGGTATTAAAACTTTTCGTACAAATTAATAAGCACAAGCACGTTTAAAAAATTAAACAATTGTGCTATCAAGGCCAGTAAAGAGACAAACATTATAATTTCGTACCAATTAAGTCTTATAAGTCCAACTAATGTCATAAGCGCAAAAGTTTATTAGGATGTATGTATGAATGTCTATAGCTTTTTCGCAGTCAGGTGAAATAAAAAATCAAAAAAGTAATTCAATATTGTACACTTTATTTCAAGAGGAATACTAAAATACTTTTCTATAACGAAAGTCTTATTATATTTAATTATGTATTAAAATTACAAACTATTGTAACAGTTAGTGCAAAATATTATGCGTATTAAGCGTAAAAATAACTTTATTTTAAAAGACTGTATATTTTGTTTACATTTTTAATATACCTAGAATTATATAACGATAATGAGAGCACACATATAAGTACATAACAATTTTATCAGCATCCAGCCATACCTACTCCTTAACTACACTCGCATAAAATTCAAATCACTCTACTAATTAAGCCTTGTATTGTACGTATACACTAAGTTATTATTAACTTTATTTAATACACACAAAGTACCTATTGCCTGTATTTACAGAAAATAACATGAACTAAAATTACTAATGGAACTTCAAAAACTTTTTACAAAGATAAGAGAACTGAATTCTGTTATTGTACGATTTTACAAAACACCACACAGAAGTTTTACATTTAATTTATATTGCAATAAACAAGGACATCCACCAAGGCGGGTTCTTCAGCCATGATTTAAGTTTCTCTCTAGACGGTAATATACCAGTGTCCTTCTTTGGCTCCGGCATTTTTGAGTAATCCATCAAAGTTTTACAATCGACCGCAGTACGTAGAGAAGCCTCTTTTGTTATAATTTCTACGGCGCACTCCATATTATTAGGGTTCACTGGGGGCCCTTTGACACTCAAAGGATCTACAAGGGTTGAATTAATAGTACACACTGTCACATTCACCATAGTCGCGTTAGTTGTCACCGTCTTGGTGACGTAAGATGTCGAACCGTTCACTGTGAAAGTCTCTGTGGTCACTGTCGTGTTCACCCCCTGTGGCAAAGTGTTGTTAGCGCCCAGTGTAAACATGACGGTGCCATTAGGTGCTAATGAACTTCTCACATTAGCCTTCACATCAATGCTGGGAACGATTGGTGCAGGATCTGGGTTCTCTGCGGTAGCTGGTGCCGCCTGCATTGTCGTCACAGCCTTCTCGATCGTGCTGACTGTTGCGGTGCACATTGTTTTATTCACTTGAGTTTGTTGTGTTGGAGCCACTCTTTTACTATCTTCGGTGAAGGTTGAAACAATTTCACACGGAATTTGAAGTGCTTCCTCTCGTCCGTTTTCTTTAACTTTCAATATGCAATGCGCTTCGTCTTGAGGCTTATTCTGTGGTCTGTAGGAGGAGGAACCGTAGGAGGAGGAACCGTATGATGAAGAACTCGGCATATCATACCTGCGTCTATAGTAGTCATCATAATAGTAGTGGTCTGGGTAGCTGTGTGAGCGTCCAAGATTGTACAACGTTAAACCAGTCAGTAGATCTCCGTATCGGCTGTTGGAGTGCCTGTAATCTTGGATATACACGTACTGTGGTGTTGAGTAGTACGTTGGCACGTTTGTATGGTAATAATGATGGGTTGTATGAACTGAAGAAGATGGATGACTATTTGTATTGTATGTATAAGTTGGTTTGTAGTTGTTCGAATTTGATGGGTAGTAGTGGGATCCAGAACTGTAACTTGATCCAGAGCCGGATAATCCCGTCGAGCTTGATGGATAAGAATGGCTTCCAGAGCTTGATGATGGTCTGTAACTTGACCCAGAGCCAGACAGTCCTGTTGAACTTGACGGATAAGAATGGCTTCCCGAACTTGACGAAGGCTTGTAACTAGATCCTGAACTAGATAATCCTGATAACGATGTAGGATATTTGAAATTGTTAAGATTTGATACTCCCTCTGGTAAAGGACTTATGTAAATTCCAGATCCAGATGACGATGACGATGACGACGGGTAACTAGATGATCCAAAGTTCCATGACGATCCAGATGAAGATGAAGGATATCTACTACTGGAGCCATATCCCGATAATCCTGAAGATGATGAAGGATATGAGTGTGAGCTGGAGCCATATCCCGATAATCCTGAGGATGATGAAGGATATGAGTGTGAGCTGGAGCCATATCCAGATAATCCTGAAGATGATGAAGGATATGAGTGTGAGCTGGAGCCATATCCAGATAATCCTGACGACGATGAAGGATACGAGTGTGAGCTGGAGCCATATCCGGATAATCCTGATGATGATGATGGGTAGCTATGCGATGACGAGGAGCTTCCCCAACGACTTGATGACGAGGAACTTGAGCTCCAACTGGGTTTGGAGTAACTCGACGACCCCCAACTCTTGCCAAAGGAGCTGCTGCTTCTACTACTGCTCCTGCTGCTGCTCCTTCCACTGCTTCGCCAACATTCTATATAAGTCACAGTCAAACACGAAACTAGTAGGCACAACAGAAATATTCTGTTGGCCATTTTGCGTGACGTTAAGCGAGCGATATCTCAAACACGTTTGGTCCACTTGCCTTTGATTGGCATTATTTAAGACCGGTACGGGTAACAGTGTGTGTATTTATGTGTGTGTGTGTGAGTGAATGACGTGAACTATTCAGGGAACCTCATTTGCTCACGCCGACCACAGATAAGAGAAGGCTATAAGGTGAAATAAACATAAATCAAACTAAATTGATACAAAACAACTTCTCGAGGCTCCCAAGACCGCTTCAAACAATAATAAGCTTATCATCAGCTTGTCAAGGTCAACTCCTGGACAATTGTTCTTGTATGCCATTGGTAGATGCTTCATGTCCAGGGTCATAGGCTGCTATACCTAGTCTTCCGTTTCCAGGCACCCTGAACATCATCTAAAGATCAACAGTTCATTGGATTGGAGGGTGCCTGAGACAGACAATTCATTTCTACTTGAGCTTACTGATACCATGTGCTAAGCCCGTATCTACTTAATCTATACTATAATATTATAAAGCTGCTGAAGAGATTGTCTTTTTGTTTGTTTGTTTGAACGCGCTAATCTCCGTAACTACTATTTCGAATTCGATAATTCTTTTTGTGTTGGATAGTCCATTTATCGAGGAAGGCTATAGGCTATAAAACATCTCGCTACGACCAATAGGAGCCGAGCAGAGCGTGTGAAACCGCGCGCAAGTAACTAGTACATAATAAATATAGTAAATCAAAGCATTTATCTATACTTATAATAAATCTGTAGAGAGGTCAATTCTGTACATAAAATATATTTAAAAAATAACTATCAAGGGGTGGTTAGAGATCGCTACTGATGCCAAAAATGCAATCAGTAAAATTTTTGTCTGTCTGTCTGTCTGTCTGTATGTTCGTTATGGAAACAAAAACTACTCGACGGATTTTAACGAAATTTGGCACAATTATTCTTCATACTCCTGGGCAGGTTATAGTATACTTTTCATTGCGCTACGATCAATAGGAGCAGAGCAGTAAAGGGAAATATTGGAAAAACGGGAGAAGTTACTCCATTTTTTAAGCTTCCGTCACGTGTGCAGGCTTATAGGTTAAAGCTACATAGAAATCATGTATGACGGAAATATTCTCCTTTAAATTATATAAAAAATATTCCTCGACAGCATATGTCTATCTTTTATGGTTGACTCACAATAACACGTGAAACTCCCGATAGCTGAGCAATTCGGTGATTTCTGATTGTATTTGTCTACTCTAACGTTTACAATACTCATTCATAGACTTTACGCTGTAACTGAAAGGCCAATGGTTGAAATAGCTTGACTCGATATAAAAATGAAAATGTGAGTTTATGTGTATGTTTGTTACTCAGTCATATTAAAACGAATGAAGGGACCGGAATGAAATTCGGAACAGAGGTAGATTATGGTCTGAAGTGATACATAGGCATTTTACCCCTGGGATCGCGGGCGAAGCCGCTGGCAGAAGCTAGTTTCAAATAAACTTAATTAGGCACTTTTAAAACGTCAAAAATTGAATTGTCCGTCCGTCTGTCTATCAGTGAAGCTAGGCGCTCGTTCCAAAGTGTTGTTTCTAATGGAGAAGAACGAGCAAGAAACTCCATAAGCTCCACTCCGAACTATTTGAAAAACTGTTGTACGAAATCAATTCTACTTCCGAGAATAGTAAAATTAGTTTGATAAAACTTAACATCAAATTACGTATATTCCCAAATATACAACAACTAAAGATTTCCCGGGATCTATCTTGTTTCTCTGAAACCGGTCAGTTTCAAACGTAAACAACAATGACTCACACTCCCCAAGCATAGTGATACGTGATAATAGACTTCCAAAGTCCCAAACAATGTTTTAATTAACCGAAAGTCATTAACGTCATACCAACTATGAAAATAGTAGTGGAATACTTAAAAACAAAATACAGTTTGCAAAATACTTATAATATGTAATTATTTTGCAATCTGAACCAGCATTTTCGGAGATAAGTGCGTTCAACCAAACGAAGGAAATATTCAGCTTTATAATGTAGTAACTATACTTTCCGCTCTTCTATACGTTTTTTACACTCTGTACAAGGAGAACGCTTACTAAAGACGAAGACAGGTGTTGGTAAACAACAAGTTTTATTTTTAAAAAGTGAGGAATTTAATGTTTCTTTTATGTAATACAACATAATATCACGCCTTTTATCCCCGAAGGAGTAGGCAGAGGTGCGCACAGAATAACACCCACCTTTCACTATTCATGTTAAGAGTCCCATCTAATAGGGGGTGAGCCTATTGCCATATACCGGGCACAATTCCAGACTTTTTTTATAGCATAAGCCGGTAAACGAGCAGCAGGATCACCTGATGGTAAGCAATCGGCGCCGCCCATGGACACTCAAAACACCAAGGCGTTACAAGTGCGTTACCGGCCTTTTGGGAATTGGGTATTTGAGGATTGTGGAGGATTCGGAGATTCGGGAGACGGGGACTAGGGAGGGGGGTAATTGGGCCTCCGGTAACCACACTCACACGACGAAACACAGCGCAAGCGTTGTTCCACGTCGGTTTATTCCAGACTCCGTGCTACTACTGACATTTTTTTTAAAAAACCCAGTAGTACTTTGCCCGACCCGGGAATCGAACCCGAAACCCCTTGCCTGGCAGTCGCATTTGCGACCACTCAACCAGCGAGGCAGGCAGTTTTATGTAATAATACTTTGTTATTTCTTAATACTGTGTATAGGTACAGAAGCTGTTGGTATACCTATTTAAATAAATAAATAAAAAGTAATAATAGTTTTCGTAATCAACTGCTCAAGGTTCATGTTGTTTAGATAACTAGAAAACAAAAACAAAAAAATTGTCTAAGTTTTCGTTCGTTTATACCTTATATTAGCCCCTGTCGATATGTAGCGAGTGAATAGTCGTTAATCGTATGTTGCTCAGTTTTATTGTGCAGGATAATACCTAATTGCAAAACAAAAGTTATTGTATAACAGTGTGGCTGCACATTGGTTAAATAAATTATGTTGTTATTATTAAACCCATTCAAACTATTCCTGGTTTCACTTCGGTGGAGCCGGCCGATTCATGCCAAAGCATGGCTCTCCTATACTTTAAGGGTTTCACTCAGGCACCAACCGCCTTCATCTAAAAATGTTTGTAGAAGCACGGAGTGTGGAAATGTGCCCGGTATATGGCAATAGGCTCACCCCCTATTACATGGGACTTATAACATAAATAGTGAAAAGTGGATATTACATTGTATAGTGGCATTAAGTGCCGTAATTTGCACCTCCGCCTACCCCTTCGGGGATAAAAAGGCGTGATGTTATGACTATATTTTAAATCTTGACTTGTTGCATTTGATCATGTTATTCACTCATTGTTATTTGATTAGTTTATTTATACTCATACTCATTGTTATTAGGTTATTTACACGCCATAAAGCGCTATAGTAATTAGTGGTGACGCGACCAGCGTTGTGCCTTCTGAGCTGGTCACGCCGCCAGATTGATTGCGCAAATAAGTGGGCAGTACGTAAGACGCTCTATAGAGCTGTATACATTTTATTGGTCACGGCAAGTAGTTGCGCCGCCCTAGTGTCCCGGTGAAATTTAGTCCTAATAAGTGCCCACACGTGGCGCGAATAAAAACCAACATGTATTGTTATCAAAGTCAGTTGGAGCGTCAAACATTTGGAACCAATTAAATAATTTAAAAGGTCTAGACGCAACGTTAAAACGTCCATATCTTGTTTTTATCTACACATGAAGACGAAAGGTCACTCACTCATATCGAAATCTCGAAAAATGCCATATGGATAAAGATGAAATTTGGTAGAAGGGTACTTTAAGTTAGTAGAAATTCGTTAAGACATGATTTTGCAACAAGGACGAATTATAGAAGTACAAAACAGCATCCAAATTGGTTAATTCATTCAGTAGTTACGGTGCCACAGACAGACAGTTAAAACTTATTGCGTCGGCGATATAAGAATTTTTAGATATTGTTATGTTTTCCAATGAAATAAAAAGGCAGATTATTTTATATTTTTCTTTATAAAAAATACAGAAAAAATACCAATGTAAAATAAACTACAATAGGCATTATTTCATAATTTGGTAGTTATCTATAATCTATAAAGAGTTACAGTCTTACATAAATAAATATACAATAAGTTTACAATTGCATAAAAGAAATACATATTTTGTGTTAAAACAAAGTAGCAAGTTATCATTATTTTAAGAGACATTATCTCTTGTTTACATTCTTTGCACAAAAAATTTAGTATACAATGATAACAAGAACGTGCATGGACATACATAAAAAAATTATCAGTATTCAACCTCACGCGTTAATTGGTACGCTCTCAAAATTAATGTCACTCTACTAATTACTGAGTCTGGCACAGAATACTAGTACATAAACACTATAACAAACTTTATTATTAAACTCATTTAAGGCTTTGACTGCTAATAAAAACAATGTGGTCACCGGTGACCGCCATGGCGTTCAACGTGTAGTATACATAAAGTAGTCACTTCTACGTTTATAATAAAATGACTGTGATTATTACACTACTACTTATAATAAAAATCACAAACCATAGATCAAAAACATAATTTACAAAAATACATGAAATGTGAATTCTTTTAGTGTAGTTGGAACACTAAAAGAATATACAAAGTGTTTCGCTAAATATTTCGAATTCTAATGCTATCTAACACAATATTTGGTTTAGTTTCTGACAAGCTAAATTTATAACAAATGGAACTAAGAGGATACAACTTAGAGAATAGACTTTATTGCTATTATTTTACTTAAGAACTAATTTGACTATTCTAGCAGTATTGGCATAATAAGCAAAAATAATCTCTCTAGCATTGCTGTGTTGGAGACTGCATTTAAATGTATCATAAACGTGATACAATTTTAAAAAGATTTATAGTTAACTTACACAGCAATAAACAAGGACATCCACCAAGGCGGGCTCTTTAGCCATGACTTTAGTTTTTCCCTTTGTGGCAATATACCAATGTCCTTCTTAGGCTCCGGCATTTTGGAGTAAGCCATTAAAGTTTTACAATCGATAGTATTACGTAAGAAAGCGTCTCTTGTTTGAATCTCAACCGCACACTCCATTTTATCAGGGTTCACTGGGGGCCCTTTAACACTCAAAGGATCTACGAGGGTTGAATTAGTAGTACACACTGTCACATTCACCATAGTCGCGTTAGTTGTCACCGTCTTGGTGATGTAAGATGACGAACCGTTCACTGTGGAAGTCTCTGTCGTCACTGTCGTGTTTACTGCTGAGGTGTTCTTTGGAACAGTACTGTTAACTGCCACTGTGGGTATGATGGTGCCATTAGGGGCCAAAGTTCCTAAATTTGTCTTCACATCGACTTTAGGAACAACTGGCGCAGGAGTACTTACCGGTACCATTATCAGAGTACCGTTTGGTGCTAATGTCATGTTTGCTATGGTAGAAAGCGGTGGTGGTATAGTAGCCGCTAGAGATGGGAAAGCATTCACTAAAGAAACATTCGTTGATACAGTTTGGTTGGCCGTCACTGTCGCATTAGATTTAGAAGCGTTAACTGGTAACACTGATAACACAGGGTTCACTGTGGCCGCAGGAGTTGCTGGCACTGTCGTCACTGTGCTGTTAATTATAGTTGTAGTTGTCGTGCACACTGTTTTATTCACTTGAGTTTGTTGCGTTGGAGCCACTTTTTTACTATCTTGAGTGAAGGTTGAAACAATTTCACAAGGAATTTTAAGTGCTTCTTCTCTTCCATTTTCTTTAACTTTCAATATGCAATTCGCTTCGTCTTGAGGCCGGTTTTGTGGTACGTAGGAAGAGGAGCCGTATGATGAAGAACTCGGCATGTCATACCTGCGTCTGTAGTAGTCGTCATAGTAGTAGTGGTCATGGTAGTGACTACGTGAGCGACCGAGGTTGTACAACGATAAACCAATCAGCAAATTGCCGTACCGACTGTCGGAGTGTCTGTAGTCATGGATGTATACATACTGCGGCGTAGAGTAGTACGTCGGTACGGAGTAAGGCACGTTGGTGTGGTAATGATGATGAGTTGTATGATGAACTGTCGTAGATGGGCGGCTGTTCGTGTTGTATGTGTGAGTTGGTTTGTAGTTGTTGTTGTTGGAACTCGGTGGATAGTAGTGGGTTCCAGAACTTGATGTAGGTCTGTAATTTGATCCAGAACCAGATATTCCCGTGGAACTTGGTGGGTAGTAGTGGGTTCCTGAACTTGAAGTTGGTTTGTAATTTGATCCAGAACCAGAAATCCCCGTGGAACTTGGTGGATAGTAGTGGGTTCCTGAACTTGATGTTGGCTTATAATTAGATCCAGAAGACGATGATGGGTATTTGCTGGACCCAGATCCTGATCCAGAAAGTCCTGAAGATGATGATGGGTATTTGCTTGAGCCAGAACCTGATCCAGAAAGTCCTGAAGACGATGATGGATATTTGCTTGAGTCAGAACCTGATCCAGAAAGTCCTGAAGACGATGATGGATATTTGCTTGAGCCAGAACCTGATCCAGAAAGTCCTGAAGATGATGACGGGTATTTGCTGGAGCTCGAACTTGACCCAGAAAGCCCTGAAGATGACGACGGGTACTTGCTTGAGCTTGAACTTGACCCAGAGAGTCCTGATGATGATGATGGGTATTTAAAGGAACCAGATCCGGACCCAGATAAACCTGACGATGATGAAGGGTATTTGCTACTAGAGCCAGATCCAGATAATCCTGAGGACGATGAAGGATAGCTCGATGATCCGGAACCCCATCCTGACGATGACGAGGAAGGATTCTTGTGGATACTAGATCCAGATCCAGATAATCCTGAGGACGATGAAGGATAGCTCGATGATCCGGAACCCCATCCTGATGACGATGACGAGGAAGGATACTTGTGGACACTAGATCCAGATCCAGATAATCCTGACGATGAGGAAGGATATCCGTGTGATGATGATGATCCTGAACTTCCCCAGTGGCTCGAAGATGACGAACTTCCCGAATGCCCTGAAGACGATGATGGATAACTATGGGATGACGATCCTGAGCTTGATCCCCAGTGGTGACTTGACGATGATGAAGAACTTGGATGGTAACTTGAGCTTGAACTCCAACTAGGTTTGGAGCTGTGACTCGAGGACCCCCAGCTTTTGCCAAAAGAGGAACTACCTCTGCTTCTACTACTACTACTGCTGCTGCGGCTTCCACTACTTCTCCAACATTCTATGTATGTCACAGTCAAACACGAAATTAACAGGCACAACAGAAGTGTTCTGTTGGCCATTTTGCGTGTCGTTAACGAGCGACAGCTCAGACGCGTATGTTTAATTGTCCTGCTGTTAATTGGTTTTATTTAAAACAAGTCCGTGAACTGTGTGTGTGTATGATGTAAACTACTATACAGAGATTCTCATCTGCCATCTCTTTTACTCACGTTGGCAGTAGATAAGAGAAGGCTAGAGGTGAAGTAAACATTAAGCTAATTCTTACATTTGACCAGAGATAAATATAACACAGCAGGCAATTAGACTGAATTCTGTTAATGGACTCGTTCAATATTTTTGTGTTGGATATGTAACATTGTTCTTGCTAATTATTTCATGGGAATAATCCGAATCAACATGAATAATATCAAAGCTGGTCATCATATTATTAGTAATGTATTTGTACGATTAAGTATGTATACAATTATAATTATAAACTTTTATAGCAAACTGATTGATGTATACCTACATAGAAATATTATAGAGGTAATTCCTGTTGTTGGTATGTTGCAGGCGGAAGTCCGACTTTAGATACCTACGAGTATAACAATGGATATTATGTTCTTGAATTAAAGAAAATTAAATTGAATTAAAAAATAAAAATAAATAAATTTGACTGCACGGTTGGTGCGGTGGCTGGGCAACCGGCTGCCGTGCAACGTGTCGCGGGTTCTATTCCCGCACGGGACAACACTTTGTGTGATCCACAAATTGTTGTTTCGGGTCTGGGTGTCATTGTCTATGTGAACTTGTATGTTTGTAAACGCACCCACGACACAGGAGAAAATCCTAGAGTGGGGCAATGTTTTAAAAAAAAAACAAAAAAAAAAGTACTCCCTATTACTTTGAACATTTAGCCGCCAAAAAGAGTTTGTTAAAACGTTTTGACCTCAAATCATTCAATCGTCCTCTAGACGACACGCGGACCTCCAACACACGCACGATGCTACCAAACTGAAATTCGCGCAAAGCTCGCCTGCTTTTGAAAAACTGGTTTAGACCCATACGTCAACAATGATTCACGCACACACTCTGACGTAGATTGTCGTTAACTACATAAGTATACTGATATGTGATTACAGACTCTCTAATCAATGACGCGATTGGTAATATAGTACATCGAAGACATTTAATAAGTAACTGCCTCATAGTGGAGTGGGAAAAATGTTTTGGGTAAATCTAATTGTTATTTTATGTAATAGTTCAGCTTCTAGGATTGTGGTCTGTTTATGGCAATAATCTGGCCCTCGATAAGTTTATTGGACTCATAACAATAACTAACAATTAAAGCAGTTACGTTGAATTTTTTAAACGCAACTGCATCCATATATATCTTGTTGCGGAGAACCTAACGGGTAACCGGGGCTCCGGGTCGAAGCGCAGGAGAAGGAACGGGGTGGTTTTTAGTCAGAAAGAGTCTGACGATTTTGTCATTCGATGATTTTCCGCCCTTAAAAAAAACATATACATCTTGTTTGGCGTTCGACTTAATAACCAAATTAGACAAGAAATCAATTTAATTCTTTCTTATAACAACTTTTCATGTATTTGGTAAATCGATATTTAGGTTATTTATAAAATGGCTTCAATGTAAGCATATTTTCTGTCTAGTTGAACTTTGTTGCTGCCGTCATTTTATCTAATAGGTACCTACCTAATAATCAACTATTATTCATTTACTGGACATTTTCATGTTTCCTGGTTTCATACGTTTCCTGTTTGCGCACATGATCCCTATAATAATTGCTATTATTACTCTTGTTTCTAAGCACTAAAGTTTTTATTAAGTCAGCACGTATGATGAAAACATGTAACCTGTTCTAAAAATAAATAAGAAAATGTTTTAGCTTAGAATATAGGAGATATGAGATCTGTAGGTTCAGTTTGTAAAATCTATATAACTATATAAAAATCATTTGCAGTTCGTTAGTCTCGCTAAAACGCGAACACGGATGGACCGATTTAGCTAATTTAGGCCTTGAATTATTTATATGAAAGTCCAGAGAAGGTTTAAATTAATAAGTGTTTGAGGTGGTGCGAAACTTCGGTGGTCATTTTTTTTAATGAGACATGCCTGCTGCAACTCCAGTAAGCCAGGATCTACAGTAGATACAACCATGAAAACACCGGAACACTGAAGTCCGGCGCGTCCCAGGGACATGAATAAACTGTCTTGGTTCCCGCAACGAAATTAATCAGAAGATATTATAAAAGGAGAAGAAAAAAACGATAGTTTGCACTTCCTTTGGTGAATTACTGCAGGAGACAGAATGAATTAAGCCTAAAGGCACAAAAAGAGACTGTACAACTGAGAGAAGTCCAGTCGCCAAACACCACACAAATTTGACTAAAAACTATGTTTGCCAGGTAGTTTTAAATATATTTTTAATTCGATGTCTAGTAGAACAAAAAGTGTAACCATTGTGGTTACATTTTTACTACACGTTCGCTCCGTCCCCCAAAATAATTAATAACATGATTACTGAAACAACGTCCTGGTCAAGGGGGCTCAACTCCTGATTGGCCTTAATATTCCTGCCATCCTCGCGCGTATTGGGCGCTTCGGTAAACTTACTAATATAACAGTTTCAGTACTAACTTGCTGTAAGACTGATTCTCTTTAATTTTAACACATAACATCACTTTCTTCTATCTCTGTGTCTTTTATCCGCAAAGGGGTAGGCAGAGATGTACATTACGAAACTTAATGTCACTGTACAATGTAACACCCACTTTTTACTATTTATGTTATGAGTCCCAGCATGCAATAGGGGGCGCGCCTATTGCCAATTCCAGACTCCGTGCTACTCCTGTTTTTTTAAAAACAAAACCTAGTAATATTTTGTCATGGTCAATAATAACCTTAATAACAAAAACGATAACATTAATTGTGAATGGCAGAACCAGTTTTGCAGTTTATATGACGTAGTATTTGGTAAGCACATTAAGGAAATACCGACAAAACACGTCGTTGTAAGAAAGATTGTACAGATAATAATTTATACTTTGGAGTTTCCTGCATTCACACAGGAAAGTTGAACTTTAAAAAATATATTATTATTCCCAGAAAGTTCGAGGAATAACAAACATAAATAATTTATATTTGCTGCATGTTACTTGTAGTCAGGTACAGAAAAATTATGGATGAATAATAGGTACATACATAGGTCAAATCACTCCAGGGACTGAAGCAGATGAGCCAGGAAAGTGCTCGAGTGGAGACTATGGACTGAAAGACGTAGTATGGCCAGGCCTCCCGCTTGATGGACTGACGATATACCATAGCTAATGGACGCAAGCGGCGAACTGTCGTTCAACGTGGAGGACTAAGCGGGAGGCTTTTGTCTAGTAGTGGACATCTTCCGGCTGGTGATGATGGTGATATGGTAAGAAAAACCACCCCGTTCCTTCTCCTACACATCGAGCCGGAGCCCCGGTAACCCGTTAGGTTCTCCGCGACAAGTATTTCATACTACCGGTGATTTCATAATAAAATAGGGAAATTGCATTGTAAGATTGTAATGCCGTGGTAATGCCTATCGTTACTGACTTCAAAAAAGGAAGAAGTATTCGGTAAAGTAGTATTTGAAAAAGGTTTAATATGATTGATTGTTACCCAACTACGACTGTAGGAAGGGAATGTTTTTTAAGTACCTTCAAAGATTTAGATTTTTATTTTTACATTTCTAGTCGGGATTGGCCCCAAATCTCAAGAGTCTACGATTGAATGTCCATGTTTTATATAGAGCAACTGCCATCGAACCTTCGCGATCTAATGATTCAATCTATTTGGTTTTCTATGCAGCAGACTGTCGTAAATATTCTTCCGACAGTTAAAATGTTTTCCTTATAAGCCGGTATTGAAAATCTTTTGTTAAAAACTTAGAATTAACAACGAATTCTAAAAAAACCTCGTCGTCTGCTTAACATTGACCGCATTAGTAATTGGCATACTAAGGTGAATTGGCTTCCAAAAAAGATACGGACGAGTAACAAATTATCACAAATAGAATGATTATGTAACTTTATCTGTTAGGTGGCCGACGAAAAGAGTTGTATTAAATAAACGCCTGTTCCACTACCTTCATATACATAAGTACCCGATAAACGTATGTGACAGATAGTTATGTTTTTAATTCTCATACATTAATGGCTATCCAGCTATTGTAATATAGGTCCTTAAAATATGCGAATCACTTGAATACAAGATGAAATCTAATAAAAATTACATAACAGCATGCGTTTTTATCCCCAAAGGGGTAGGCAGAGGTGCACATTATACGGCACTCACTCAATGAGCCTATTGCCATATACTGGGCACAAGTCCAGACTCCGTGCTACCAATGATTTTTTTTTTAACCCAGTAGTAAGCGACGGCCGTTGGCCGAGTGGTCGCAAATGTGACTGCCGGGCAAGGTATCTCAGGTTCGATTCCCGGGTCGGGCAAAGTATTACTGGGTTTTTCAAAAAAATCACGGTAGTAGCACGGAGTCTGGAATTGTGTCCGGTATATGGCAATAGACTCACCCCCTATTACATGGGACTCATAACATAAATAGTAAAAAGTGGGTAAAAACATAAATAGTGAAAAATGTAACAACATTGTACGGTGGCATAATGTACACCTCTGCCTACCCCTTCGGGGATAAAAGGCGTGATGATGTTATGAATTTATATCTCTCACTTCACTACCACATAGAATCCTTTTGTATTTCAGAGACGGACATAAAACGATACAACACGAAACGTCGATTGTTTCTTATGAAGTCATCGGCAATTAATCGCCTGGCTTTGATGATGGTACTCAATCATTTAATGGATCGTAAATACATCTATCTGTATCTATCAAGCAATCAACTGTAGAAAACTGATTAATGAAATCAAATTAGTATGAAATTAAAGATCAATGAAAGTTTTATTTACTCGCGTAAATATTATAGGTACTACCTACTGTAACTAAAGCACGAGTCTAATATACCTTAAAACTGCATTCATTCGATACTATACACTGTAATTTGTC